GCGCTTAAAGCTCTCCTCGCAAGGCATTATGGGATTTGCTGTCACAGCGGCCCGTTGTCGTCATATCCTGTACTACCCGACAGCGGCGACTAATAAAGATGCTGCAGTCACCGCGCAGTGGAGGTGGAGTTACCAACGGGGACCAAAAAGTAGTGATCATCTGTCCAAACAGTCAGTTAACTGAGTTCCCTATGAAGTCCACTATATAATCCCCGCTCTATATAATGATTGAGGGATTAAGGGGTTAGAGCGGAAGTTCGGGCACAGTAAGCTGTTATGAGTTATGAGATAAGAGCTTGCACGAAGAGAAATGGGCTTGTGCATGCTCTCACACGCATTTAATAGGGCGTTCCTTTTCGGGAGCGGGTACAGGGTTGTGCATGTGCATTTTTTTGGAGATGTGGTGAGGGCGGGTCTTTTAGAAAATTGCAAAAATCCTCCATAACACCTTTAAGGGTAAGAACACTTAATTGAAGAATTTTTACTTATTTCTACACTGTTTTTGCTGTGTACCTCATAAAGTGTTATAAAAGTATTTATTGATCTGTTAACGTGTCCCTTAACTTTTTTCCCATTTCTATTATTTTACTGCTTTCAACTCATCTATTTTATTTGATAAAACACCCCTGAGTAGCACAAAACTGTGGAATGGTGGTATACTGATAAAGCATGTTTACATTCTTTATACAAATTTAAAGTGTGACATGTACAAGGCCAAGCTGAGATAAAAGTGTCTATAACAAATTTTTGGTAAAAAGTTAGCCATAAGTCTTGCTAGGAGTCTTTCTCTGCTATCTTTGCACACCAAAATTATTTTTTCTAACAAACTATTGCTTGTAAAAGTCCAGTTTGGATGGAACGTGTCTATAACATCACATTTTAAATCTTGTCACTCTTCGTACATTTTAATTTGGGTCTGGACTTGGACTGGGATCTGAACATGCTTTCACATAAACCAAGCCACTGCAAGCTTGACCATATTGTCCAGAGTGGACCTGGTAGAAGGTGAACCTTTGCTTTTCTCTCAATACTTTGTAACATCATACAGGTTTTACTCTACAATGTAAATCCATACAGACTGACCAAGTTCTTCTGCTAAAGAGAAACATCCCAACAGCATGAGAGGATTCTTCTGTCATCACCTGATTTCCCTATTGGATGATTTTATGTGTTTTATCCCTACATGGACTGTAGTAAAGTGCAAACAATACCTCTTTTGTGTTTTCAAACAAGGGTTTTCCTCTTGCCAGTTATATTTAAAGGACAGGTTTGAGAAATTGCAAAACTGAGAATGTCAACATATTTTCTTCATTGGACCTGCAAGTCTTAACAGCTCCTTCAGCGTAACAGCAAGCTTTTTAGCTGATTGTTTGATTAATTCCTGTTTCTTCAGGTGGGTGGTTGTGGTTTAGTAGATCTGTTGGCGTGCCAATTGGCTGTACACTGCAACGAACTTTTTTGATTTTTAGATGTTTAAACCATGTATCATTTTCCATCCAAGTCAGAGTTATGAATTAGATGTAAGGTTCTAGTACACAGGGATTTAAACCATGCATTTATGTCTGACTAAATGTGAAAAGGTTAAAAGTTGTATTTGCATTGCACTGTCATTTATTGGCAGAGTAGAAAAAAATCCTACCATTGCCTCATTTGTACTTCTTTTCTGCAAAAGAAGAAGGAAACAAACATAAAATGCAGGAAATATATGTCTAAACATTAAAGAATAACAAAGGGAAGTTTCGGTTAAAATTATTGACATTTAATTGGAGAAACATGTTACCATTTATTGCTTACAGAAACGTTGAAGGTTTAAAATTTGGTAAGCTGTTAATAGATTAACAAAACAAATACATTTTATACAGCATAAACACAACAGAAAAGTTCGATACCTGAAGCGATTTGGCAGGTCCTGTTGTTTCCTGAAACAAAAACAATCAGTTTGTTTGTCTTACCTTTTCACAAATACAATATTTGTGACCAACTTTTGCACCTTGACCCTGGAACTGTGACTAAATGTTGATTTTGACTTCAAGAACCTGCTGTAAATAGAAAAGCTTGATAACTGATAAATAAGGGGTGGAAGCTAAATCATAAAACTTTCAAATCTATTCTAAACTGATAGGAATTCATGTAGGGAAAATATATCCGGTGTTATGTGTTCCAGGCTGGGAGTGTACTGTAAGCCAGAAGCATGTAACTGGATTCTGGAGAAATTGGAGGGAACTAAGGGATAACTATGAGATACTGGCATAAAAAAAAGTCCAATATGAATAAAAATATAAATAAAAAATGGGTAATTCATGTTCTAATAGAGGTTGTAAGAAAATATATAAATGAATATTCTGTATTACAGATAATGCAGATTTTGAAACAGATTTCTATCATGGGGGAAATTATCAATACCAATCAGGAAACCAGGAACCACTACACAAAGCGCATTGCACCAACTTAAACATTTCTGCAAGACATGAAAATTTGAAGAAAAGAAAAAAAAAGATTAAAATAAAGTTTAATTGTTTAAAGCTACCTCCAGAGCTTCAGTGTCCTCAAAGATGACCAGTGATCCAGATGTTGGGCTGGTGAGCCAGAGGCAGCCACAGCCCCATAGAAGCAGCAGGCGGATTCCAACCAGACCAGACATGACCAAACTCCCAATGAACACTGACTCGCTTTAGCGCTGTGGGGAAAAAGTCCTGTCTGCTCCGGTAGGAGGGACAGAGGGGGTGGGATATTTGCCCTTGACTGTTGACCGAACCATTTGGCCTCTATGGGCCGGATGCCCGGAGGTACAAACATGGTACTTATAAAGCTGAAATAAAAAAAGTGCAAATATCTGAATGCTTCTACTCAAACCTAACGCCTTCCTTAAAATGACATTTGGCAGAAATAATGATTAAACCAGCATTTCTAACTCGTGTAATAAAAACCACCACTTACTAACACCTCTAATACCTTACTTAGTGTATGAGATAAGTGTGTGACTTAATAAGCACATTAATGCTATGACACTTAGTAAAGAGCATAGTCAGGTATATGTTATCCCTTAAAACAACAAGGTAAGAGGTACAGCACTGTTTCTAAGAGGTAAGGTACTATATGCACTTTTTTTGTAATGTCTGTCATATTTTTCATCTTTAATGGAATCTTGCTTTTACTATTTGTACTCTATATAAGCTACTGGATCGAGAAGGATCCCTGAAGGAGTAATCCCAGGGATAAATAAAGTTGAGTTTAAGTGTAAAAGTCGGGTGTTATGTTGAATTACTGCATGCATGCTCTGCTTTATGTCTGTCGCTTTCCAGCATTAGAAATAACACATCCACTAACTATGATGCAAAGTACAAATTTCCGATAACTACACCTACTTGTAAATATTTATGTGCTTTTTTCAGCTTTTTGGCAGCGCAGGCACTGGGCTGGCACTTTTTCTGGGAAGGGTATCATATTTGAACTGGCAAGTCTTTTTTTTTCATTATGAGTCAGTTTCATGGCACAGTGCTTCTATGGCAGATTTACTAAGCAGGTGATAAGCACTGCAAATTGAAGTCTGCATTCTGAAATTTAGCTGTACTCGCTCAGCCTTGTTATCTAAAGGTTTATGAGTGGAGCACACAGAACCAACAGGATCTGCAGTAAGTTAAAAATGTTTGTGGGCATGGTTGTGGAAAATTAAACAAACAAAAAAGATAAACTTCTATGTTATTCATTAGCGGGAATCGTGGCTCCAATGCATGAATTAAGAGAAATTGTGAGAATGTTTTTGGGTAAATATTCTTTGGAATGGGCAGGCACTTATATGAAACAAATAGGGCCTTTCTGCTCTCCTGTAGGCTTAGTGCTCACTTCCTCATCCACACTCCCCCTTACAGTAACATTACCTCAGATAGACCCACTTGAAGCAAAAACAGACATTATCTACTATTTTGGCGACTGTGTTGAGACATGCCTGCCAAAGTAATTTTGTGTATAACTCCAAGACTGTTTTGATACAACACTAGTTGGCATCAGGCTGTTTTTTCTAAGATATGAGAGGGTCATTCCGAAAGCGGTTTATATTTTGGGTTTCCAAAGGTTGAATGTGATCTAAAGGGAAGCTTTCTGTTTGATGGATATGGTCCTTTACAGTTAAATAATTTTGCAGAAAATATTAAGTTTCTTACAGTTGTATACAGAAAGCTGTGCCTACTGGAAATCTGGTTGCGAAAATGTGTCTTAATTTTACCAGTTTTCTGCATCTCTAATTCTTTTCTATCAGTTTCAAATAAACTGTTTTGGTCATCAAACTGTTTATACAATTATTATTTATATGGGTGTATCTCAGGGCTGCTCAGTGGCACCTTGCACTGACACCTTGCACTGACACCTTGCAGCTAGAAGATTTTCTGCATGTTCTCCTTGTACATGCGTTGGTTCTCTCCGGGTACTCCAGCTTCCTCCCACAGTCCAAAAACATGACTGTTAAGTTAACAGGCTTCTCTAAATTCTCCTTAGGTATGGTTGTTTGTCTCTGAGTCGCCCTGCGATGGGCTGGCGACCTGTCTCGCTCGTAAACCACTGGAGATGGATGTGCTGCTGCATGGGATAAGCATGACAGAAAATGGATGGGTGTATCTCAAAGCAGTGCTAAGAAGATTTTTTTCAGTACATCTATATTTTAAGTGGTATATCATATGGATTCATTACATATACGGTAATTATTTCTGTTTTAGAGTCTTTTTCATGACTGTATGTATTGACTTTAAACTTCTGCCAAAAATACTTAGCAGTATTCTCTTACTAAATAGTTTATTTTTTGAGAAGCTGATTTCCCAAAAGCTGAAGCTGATTTCTAGGTTTTCATTACCTGGAGACCTGTTATCGTCAAAAAATATACTTAAAATAAATTGTCTTGCTTTCAATAAATCAAGTTTCACTGCTTGAGAGAAATATTATAGTAAATTGCCACTTAAATATATTTCAATTTTATTACATTTATTTGTGATGTCATATCCTCCTGAAAAATTATGAACTATGAATTCAAAAAAAGTAAAAAATAAAAAAAATAAAAAATCCACCGGAATTTGTTATCAATTTTAAAGACATTTTGCTTCCCATTCAGCAGGCTTTTTTTTAATTCAAAACATGAGAAATAGCAATAGAGTTGATTCCTTCCCGCTACTGTCATAACCCCTACCCCCTTACAGGGGTCATAACCCCCTTTCAGAGACATAGACAGGTATGGGGCATTGCAGGCTGAAAAAGAAGCCAAATGACCCCCATTCCAAAGGGGTGGGCCCAATCGTCCATTTCAATTTGCATGTTTTCTAAGTCAAAACAAGGCTTTGTTGGGCTACTGTAAAGCCTCGAACTCAAGGCTATTCTGGACATTTTGAATTGAAAAAGCTTCCTGGATGGGAAGCGAAACATCTTCAAACTTGGAAAAAAATTCCAGTGGATTGTTTTCTAACTTTTTTGAAATGACTATGATCTGGACGACTGAGAATATTCACCAGCATGATGAACTATGAAGATTTTCTGCGTTACATTTTTGGCAAGCTTTGTTTATTTAACAACTGGCAATGTTAGCTCTGAACACAAATATTCTGCACTTCCTAAAAAACATACAGAAGACTCTAAATAATAACAATGTACCACCTTAGAAAGTTGAGAAATTCAATCATTTGTTCTTTTGAAAGAATAAACTAATTTATAAAATGTGTAGTTTTTTTTTTGTTTTTGTTTTTTTACATTAAAAAAAAAACTCCCAGTCGCCACTAGGAGGTGCTGCAGCACCCCCAGTACTTCCCATGGCCATGCACCCCAGTGCTAAAGTTCTTACACTAGCATCCCATATCTCAGGGAATACCCTTTAAAAGACTTTTTCTAAAAATCAATGAAGCACTTCATTTCAAAGTACGTTAGACTTGCTGCAATGCAGACCTTTTAGAGCTTCTGACTTAAATCTACCAGGCATTACCAGGATCCGAACCAAACATGGAGAATCAGCTTTTAGTTTGTTTGCTCCACCAATCTGAAACAAATTCACAGAAAATCTGCAGAAGCACTGAAACCCTAAGTTGCTTTAAATCAAGCTTAGAAACATATATGTAAGATTGGTCTTTGACTGTTCTGTCAAAATATTATCAGTTAAGATTTAAACAATTTATTTTTATTATACTTTGCTCAGCTGTAATGTACGTTTCTTTTTTAATGTACAGCACTTTGAATGGCCCGCTACTGAAATGTGCTATCTAAATAAACTTGCCTTGCCTAGAGTATAGATATCTATTAGCCTACCCATGGATCACCTCTAGTGACCAGAGTTTCAAGGCTACCACAATTTTCTCTTGCTGAGAAGAAATTTAAATTTAGGTGAAATATTAAACAAAAAACAAAGTCAGCCATGGAGTTAGAAATTTCATACCCCACACTTAAGGTAATAATGCTGTTTTATTAAGACAGTTGGAAAACAATGCATGACGTGTCTGTTGACTGCAAGCTGGCTACCTAAACAGATAGCTCACCTTATTAATAATGTTGGACCCCCAGTGTGACTTCATAGGAGCAAAATTTAATATGTCTTACAAGTTATTATATAACTACAATAATCAACATGCCATGTCACCTTATAGGTAATACAATCCTATTTTTAGATAATGTTAGAAATTTTAATGAAACATTTTTGTATTATTTAGGTGAAACCAAGATACCATTGTTTTTTAACTGGTTTTTAGGGTGGGAATATAACACTGGCACATGCCTAACAGAAACCCACCCCAAACAATGAGCACAATAGTGCACAGCCCATCATACACAGCAGCAACATCTTCCATGGAAAATCAATGAATCCTCACTGCTTTCTAACACAGGAAAAACTATTTATTTATACAGATAGGCTTATACAAAAACAACAATAATAAAGCCTTAACATTTATATCAAAATACATCATTTGAACAAAACTAGCTTCCTCCATCTTCACAAATAAGATGAAAGAAAAGACTGCAGTGGTGGCTCTTTTTTTAAATGCTGCTTCTTAACTTCTGGGGCTACTTGCTGAACACACTGGCTGAAGGATCTTTGGGAGCAGCAGGTTTGGAGAGAACCGTCTCTGTTCCTGACCTTACGCCACTGAACACAGATGGAGCCACCTTCCCCATACGCTCTAAACACACATAAAAAGACATATTAAAAATAAAATTACACAGGAGACAGTACATCCTAATGAAGCATTCTGACAATGGACGAAAAGTAAAGCAACAAAAACAGCAGGTGTGGAAGAGGTGCATTGCAAATTATAACATGCTATCTAAGTAGTCATTGATTATATGTTAGCTGTGTTAAGTGGCTGGAAGTATATCCTAACCTATTTTTTTTTATATATATATAGTTTCAAGGTTTAGCTGTACAATTACAAGTTAGCAAATATAAACTACTGCTCATGGCTAGATGGATACAAACACAGGGACACATTATTAGTATAAAATAGAAAAATAAATATCAAAACCACAAAAAAATTGTAAGTTATGTTCAGCTTGTCTGTAATATATAATGTGAAATTACTATTTGATACCATGTGCATGTTTCTATATATATAGAAATATATATATACATATAAAAATATAGACATCCATCTATATAAGTACCAATGTAAACATCCTGTGCAATAACCCTGTATAATAATCCTACTATAAAAAAAAAAGCTGTCATGTGGATGCACTGTATATAATGTATATATCCCGTGTACCTTTTTCCTTAATTTGGCACATTGTTCTTCTTTGAGTATTTGATCTAATGTAACAAGTAAATTTCTCCACAGTGTGATCAATCAATCAATCAATCAATCAATCAATCAATCAATCAATCAATCAATCAATCAATCAATCAATCAACAGACTACCACAGTTATGGCTACCTGCAAATAGCCAGATTAATTGAGTTCAGTTAATTTGACTACCAGTGATAATCAGTCAAGAACAAAAGGGTAAAATCAGATACTATTTAAAATAAGCCCTTCAATAATACAACTAATTTAGAGTGTATCTCCTCTCTGTTTATGCAAATGTTATGGATAAATATTTAAGTGGGTAAATTTGTTAGATTGATGAAGCAGATGTTAGGATTACAGTTGGTTTCTACTTTAAATATAAATTCAAGATTACCTTTTGATTGACTTTTTAATTAAGGTTAATTTAGGGTGAAAACCTCATCCAGACTAGTAGTCCGGCAAATTTAACGAAATTTTATCATAAATGTTGCTAGGTCGAACTAGATTTATCTTCAACTTCATAGATTTGGATTTAAGAAATATTTTAAACAAAGTTAAAATACAAGGATTTGGACTCCAAGTGTGTTGCGTTTTTCCGTAGTTAGCAAGCTACAATCCCCTTTGAAGTAGCCTGACTTGTAACGAAGTTGACTAAACAAAAAGTGCTGTCTAGATCGCGACGCCCCACTGGCATTGTCACATTTCTAAAGCTGTATTATGTGATCTGCTGACAGCTCCCTGGTGGTCTAGTGGTTAGGATTCGGCGCTCTCACCGCCGCGGCCCGGGTTCGATTCCCGGTCAGGGAATATATTTTGCCAACCACACGGCCCGAAGGGATGCGATTTGGTTTCCATGCATTTTTTGAGACATACAATTAAATAAAATAAATTCTACAGTTGGTTTCCATGCTTTTTTTCTGGATATACAACTAAATATAGTTAATACTAAAGTCTGCTTGTTTAGTCCTCTACCTTCACAAGTTAATGTTATATAAAGCTAGTGAGGATTCTCAGTCATCCAGGTCACAGTCACTCCAAAAAAGACTCAGGTTTTAACTCTCAAAAATCTACAACCCAGTGATAGAATTGATTCCTTCCTGCTATCATCTTATGCCCCATCGCCGTGCAGGGGACCAAAACATCTGTTCTTCTGGTTCAATTATCATGCTTTCTAAGCCAAAACAAGGCTTTGTTTGGGCTACTCTAAAAAGATTGGAACTCACCACTATTTCTGACATTTTAAAATTAAAAAAAGGTTCCTGGATGGGAAGCGAAAAAGTCTCTGAACTTGGAAAGCAAAGTCCAGTGGATTGTTTTTTTTTTTGTTTTTTTTTGGGCATGTTTCATAAATTGCTTACAGCCATTTTCTCCCCCCTCGGTCAAATCTTGAGGCTCTACAGGCCAGCCTACCAACCAACCAACACAAACACCTCACTCAACAAAGAACACATTTATAAGGTGGGGAAATGTGTTTTTTGGTTTTTTTTATCCCGCAATAACGCTGTGAAAAATTCTCAGATGGTTCTGTGTCAGAGCAAAACTACTTTACTGAGAGACGGTACTTACCACACTCCACCATGACCTCATAGGTTTTACTTTTGACCTCGCCCTTCAGGCCAAGTTTACTGCGAGCTCCTTTCAGGTCCTCCTCCTTTATCGGTGGACGCTTCTTCTTTTTCACCTCGCCGGACTTAAGTGTTGAACAACAAGAATATGAGATCTGTAGTAATTTATTAAATATAAGCTGCAAATCAAAACACCTGATAAAACTTACCTGCGACATGGTTGTTACTGCTTCCAGAGACTCTGGAACTGCTATTCTGCTCCAAGTGTGGCTTCTCTGCTATGACCCTAACATTATATATATAGTCCTGGTCCTCACCCCATGAGTCAGGCAGACCCTCCAAACATTGTTGTCAGTGTGTATTATTAGGAGTGACGTGAGGGATGGTACAGCTGGAGTGGGTGTCCCATAAGCTCACAGGCCAACAGCTGATTATTCCAGTCGTCACTGGCAAGGAAAAAGAAGAGGGTCCACCGCCCAGATCGACTCCTTACTTCAGAGTCTGGGATTTCCAACATTTGATCTAAGCCTCAATTAACAACATTTTGGGTGTTGGAGCCTGTGGTTCAGATGAGAACCAACAAAATCAGGGTGTGACTGCTGTATAGCCTGAAAAAAACTTAATGATTACATTAATCATTATACGGATTTCATTTGTACATAGATAAAAACATTCTTACTATCTGAAATGATCATTGAAATCGAAATTTAGTAATATTAGTCACCACTAAGTCATGACTCTAGGCTTTATAAAGCTTGCCCATATGACGGTGGGCAAGCTGACTCACTGCTTTTTATGTGACACACCTCTTTTTACAATATAATACAGATCAGAAGGAGTGCAACCTCTATATACCACACAGCAGGTTTTGTCATAAGAGACGGAAAATTGAAAGATGTAATTTCTATAAAACTAAACTGTTAATTTTTCATATTTTTCTCCTCAACTGGTTTTATAATAAAAAATAATCGTTGGGAATAATTAGGTTATTAATGTAGGTGTCTAACTTTCTAGAAGACTGCTGTATCTATAGTTTAAATTTAATGGTCAAAGTTTCTCCTTAGTTGGGATTTTACATTCAGATATCAGACATTATTAGTCCGCTCAGGAATTTTTTTTAAAGTAAGTATTTCTATTTCTTAATACTAGTCTTCTGATGCTACCGTGTACCATGATGACTCACCTCTTTATATCTCCATGTAACCAAGGCAATTCACACAGTAAATGTGCCCATAAAATCAACAAGAGTGTGGTTAAAAAAACAAAAAACAAACACTGTAGTATATCTGTGTAAGTTCTCAGTCACCTGGGTAATGGTAACCACAAAATAGTGAAGGTATTTCACCACATATCTGGAAGTCTTGTCACTTTGGTTGGCTAGCACCAGAGCAATCTGTAGCTCGAGCGTTGATGTATTTAAACAGCATGGAGGTCCAACCTCCTGCAGATAATTCAAAAGACATCACATAGCACAGGGGTCTTCAGCATTTTCCAGGCTAAGGACCCCCAAACTGATGGAGCAGGGACCTCCTAATAAATAATAATAAATATATTGTATGCAATGGAGTTATATCAAACTAGTCCTATAGTCACTCTATTACAGATGGAGTAATGTAGCAAAGGTAATTTGGCCCTGGGATTTTAAAGTATTTCTGATTCTGATTCCTGGTTGATGGCACAGGTATTGTGAATGAAAAGGCGCAGCTTGAAAGAGCTCCTGTGTGTCGCTGAATGTGAGCATTGATGACTAAAAGACATCTTCTGCCTCCATTTATCTGTTTACTACAGTGTGTTGAATTCATGTTAATGTGGATTTAAAGACATTTCCATTAGTGGAAAAAATTGCAGGGGGGAAAATAAGAAAAAAAATAGAAAAAAAAGTCTAATCAACCAAACCTTTCACGACCCCCATGAGGTACCTCCGTGGACCCCCTAGGGGTTGCGAACCACCTGTTGAAGACCCCCGACATAGCCCATGAACAACCTTGAAGCACCTTAAAACATAAAAACCCTGAAAATAAACATTTAATGTAAATCTAAATAGAATCACTATGGAAGCATGTAACCTATTAAGATTTATAGTTAGTTGAAACAGTAAGCCTTGTTAACATTCTAGTTGATGGTAAGATATCACTGTCTCTATTATACGAGGACAAAACAAAACACATGAGTGGAGCAAAAAAAAGTGTTATTTAATTAATGTAAATTTTGGAAAAGGCAGTGCTCCTATTAAGAGGTTATATGATACATGATCCTAAACAAGTGCTATAGGGTTTAGCTGCTAACTTGCCCTCATATGTATTTTTAAACATATCAAGTTTTATTTGCTAGGACCAGCCATTTTGTTTGTTCTTTGGGGAGAACAAACAAAATGGCTAATTAGGAAAAAAGAAAAACAATGAAATATAGATTCATTCATACCTTCCTTTATTTCCTATGATGAATTACAATTTCTGTAATGGTCTAAAAATGTAAGTTCTTAAAAACACAAGATCTTTTTTTTTTGTCCAGGCAGAGAAAAAGACCTGTAACAATAAATCAACTGCTGTAAAGGTGCTCTCACCTTTAAATTTGTCCCCTTCATAGCAAAACAATTATCCAAAACATGACACGCAGATAAGTTTTCACAGTTTATGTAACTCAGTTTACTGTTAAAGGGGAGCAGAACTCATTTCCTCCCATGCTTAAAACTACAGATATATTGGAAAGATACACTGCCTTCCACACACACACACACACACTCTACACAAACAAAAACCTCCTCCTCAGACATACCTTCTCGGTCCACACTCATCATTTACAGTTTAAAGGTCAGAGCAATTCACATTCTGAACACCAGAACCAGCGTAATGCTCGGATATCTGGAGCTCTCCTTGAAACAGGAAAAGGAAACAACAAAATGCAAATAAATGCTGGTCGTTTTGCCCCTTCACCATTTTGCACCTGTGCAGTTTCAAACCCATTGAGTAAAAAAAAGAAGGTGTTGATAAAGTCTGCCATAGGATGCTTTGTAGAGACCACATGTTAATTTGGACAAGCCTTTGAGATATTTTATAAATCCTTTTTAGTTTTTATTGATTTTACTAACTGTTAAGTGTGAGAAAATAAGACTCCAATAAATACACATTACCATTATTAGTTCAGAGCTCCTAATTCTCTCTTTAAGGGAAAATTCCAGGATTATCTTATTTAAAAATGACTACAAAACTTGACTATGGCCCTACAGCAGCTTTCTATATATTTGCCCCCCATTATAGTGGGCTGGTTTTGAGCATGGAACTACATATGGTACAGATAGACAGGATATGGTGAAAGGAGATAAAAGAAAAGAGAAAAAAGAAGGGGCTAAGGAAAGAATGGATGCAAATAAAAAAAGGAACAAAGGATAGAGAAGAAGAAATCATTAGGAAGTAGCTCTGATACAATTTTTGGTTGGTCATAATCAGTCAAAGGGCCACAATAAGACTGCTTATACAATCTGAAAATATCCAATTAAACTAAATTATGAAAATAAAACCATCCTTAATCTTCATAATTTATCTAAATAACTACCAAAAAGATTCAAATCTGATATGCAATGGGCAAATACAACTGTATTCTATTTACTCATGCATGAGCAAAGTGGGGGTAAGAAACTGAGACACAAACTGGTAAAAGAGGGGAACTGACCTTCAATCTCAACTAACAAAAAACACCTTTACGAAAAACACACAAAACTCAGTACGTGCAAAAAAATAGCTCCTCAATAAAGTATCTCTGCTGAAATGAAATCACTTTGGAGGCAAGCAGAGTCACCTTTTTGGCCCCAGAAATACAAGTCCTTAACAAATGGATAAAAAAAAAAAACACATTCAAGAAGCAAAACATAACAAATACAAACAAATGAGAGTGTTACCTAATCGACATCAATGGCTGAGCTGACATTAGAAACCTCTTTGCAATCGTAGTTTATAACATTTTGTCAGATTGCATGAAAACATTAGGACTCCATCAGACAACAGTTCATATCATACAGAAGGTGTACAGTAGTTAAGCATGTTGCTGTGCTGAAAAGTTTTAAAGGCTGCATCCCCAGACAAATACTTGTTCATATGTGGAGGAGTGTACAGATATCCACTCACATATATACAGTTTATATATCACAGGCCATGGTGGTACATCTACACAGGAGGAGGACTACAGGACAGAGCTAAAAGGAGGTTAGGACCCCAAATAGGTAAGGACCACGTTAAAGAGGGAAATGTGATACAACAGACCGATAATTTGCATATTTGTCTCGAGACCACTAACTGAAACGATCCGAGACTCACGAGTCATCTAATTTAGTGTCATACATCTCCCATTGTGCCAATGATAGTTTGTGGTGGGAGGCTTCCTTTCTGATCCATCTACAAACAAAAAAGGTCTCCCAAAGTGCCAGGTCGACATGCAGCAATATTCCAAAGATCCTGGAAACCTGCAAAACAACCGTTTCCTAAATAAAAAAACATTTTGCGTACCAATCCTCTGGGAGTAATCAGAGAGGGAAACTGAAGTACAGTATCGTCTTTGAGGAGAACCAGAACGTGTTCTGGTTTGAAGAGGTACAGGGAATGTAGGTTATATGGTAAGGAGAAGAAAACGGTGGACACACTGATCAAACAGGAATCCCCATTCGAAGCTTTTTCTTTTTCACCATTTTCAGACCAGGGAGTCGACGGACATCGTCTTCGTCTGACTCATCCATCTCATCATCTGCTGAGAAAAGGATCTGAGGAAAAGAAAGAAAGAAGAAAATGGTAAAATATACCTCTGCAAGTTAAAAAAAAAGAAAACTTTTCAAAACAATCTCTAAAGAAAAAGAAAAATCGTCCAATGCAAAATGGGAATCAATGGACTCTGCTTAAATGTTTGAAACCTGTGGCTCCAGGGGAAAAAAAAAATCCATCCATAATTATGTTTTTCAAATCCTCTATGAACTGAAAGTCTGAATCTCCTATATAACTTATAATTATATAGGAGTAGTTTCCATTTCTGGAGGCAGACATCTTTATAGCAGAGTAGCACTGACAAACTAGTGACTATAGAGATCCCCATTACAATGTTAATACAGCAAGATAAAGCTATACACAAAATCCCACACAGGCTAATAAAATACTATTTATAAAACTGACACTATAGTCTGACTGTTAGATGTCATTGAAAATTTTAATTGTAGCTTTAAACCAACGTTATTTAAGCTAAATTGAAACAAAATGGCTCGTTGTTTTTTTGATACGCACTATGTTGGATTTTTATCCAACATAGTGCGTATACCCACACCAAAATCCCCAAGAAAAAAAAAAAAACTATGAATGAAAAAGCATAAAATAAATGAGAAGCTATTTTTAAACCCTTGGGAGGGTCTAACCTGCCAAATAAAACCATTGTAATGGTGGACAGTAGCCTTATTGTGGTGGTATGAGGCTGGAGCACCACATATTTACCATGGACGGGATATTACAGTTAACGAGTTAAACAAAACAAAACAATTAAAGTGTTTTATTTCTGTTTGTGGGTAAGATATAATATAAGCTTGTTTTTTTTCCCTTAAACACGTTTTGTAGGCTTTGTGACCCTAAGTAAACCCTAATAAGCAGGACTGAAGGCAAAAATGGCTCCTAGGGTTGTAAATGGTGGCTAGTCTAGTCTTTGGATAGACGGGCTTTGGTCAAATGTTTACTGGTCATGAATATTCACAAGCTAAGGGGGACTGACAACAGCTCATTTTGAATGACTAAAGAACTCAGAGCAATAAGAAGAATTAAAACAACAAGGACTTCCTTCGTATGTACTGTTTGAGTTCAACAGATGATTTTTCTAAAATCTCTACAGTCACACAAACATTTCTGGTACAAAGATGTATTTATTTCTTAAGACTGCCCCCAAGTGGCAAAGTCTTGTTATAACACAGGGGCAATGTCTAGTGAGCAGATAATATATCATATCCTCAACTAAATACATATTGAAAATACTCATTCTAGCATTAGTCAAGTAAAAATTTCAAAGACCTCAACATTGACCAGACATGATATAAATCAGAAATGTTTGAGGTCAGATTCCATCACATATATAGCATAAGGGCCCGTTCCTGTTGATCCAGTTTGGATAGGGGGGGGAAGGGTCCCATGTTCTGATCAGTGAACTGTGGGTCTGAGTAGTGGGTGGGAAAGAACAACGAGCCAAGGAGTTGAACCTAGAATCTTCTGATCCGTAGTCAGACGCGTTATCCATTGCGCCACTGGCCCCTCGAAAACAAAAGAAGCCCCCTACCGAGAGTCGAACAAAAGACCAGTGAAGAAGAGTGCAACATCCCCTGGATAAAACCAAGCTCAGAGCAGTTAAGACTAATTTCATAAATACACAAGAATATTAAAGTGTCCAAGTAGGTAAGATCTCCCGAAGATTTGTTATAAATATATATTGACCAAAAAACAGACAGAGAAGGAAAAAATAAAAAGTTTCGAGCCAGCCAGGAGTCGAACCTAGAATCTTCTGATCCGTAGTCAGACGCGTTATCCATTGCGCCACTGGCCCCCACAATCATACAGCGCCTTCACAATAGATCAGTGAAAGCACAGCCCAACCCCCACCAATACTTAACTCTTGCTCTTTGGGCAACAGCAGCAAAATGGCAAGGAAGTCAAGTAACCACGAAGCAATGCTCCAGCCTATACTGGTTTAGAAACTGAAACCAAAAGTGTAAAAGCGGACAAAAAAAACCCCCAAAATGGGTAAATTCTTAATCTCTTTTTAAAGTTTCATCAAATGCTAAAGTCTACAGCTTTTAGAAAGTTAGTTAGCAAACATACTTGTTTGCAAAATGGTAATTCCAACAGCTGTCCACTATGCTTTCGCATTTCAGACTCACCTCCGACTCTGAGTCATCATGTGACAGTGCTCGTCGGTACCGAACCTTGCTGTTCCCACGCGAGTCCTCCTCTCTCTCCTCAAGCTTTGCTTTTGTCCTGTGCTTCTTCATTAGGAAATTATCTACCACCCAAAACATAAGGGCCTAAAGCAGACAAAAGCACAAAAGAAAAAAGTGTTACCTGCATAAACTGACTGTGAGAACTACAAATAGAACAAAGCATCAGTGGACTTACATTGACGAAGAATGGAACAATGAGCATAACAATGGCCAGTTCCAGATCAGGATTCTGTATGGGATTGAGTAGAGCCAGCTGGGAAACAATAAGAACATAGGCATCATCAAAATGTATATTCTGAAAGCTATAAATGATCAAAACATGCAGAAAGAATTACACTAAGAAAAGAGGAAAGGGATGTAGTTGATAGGGAGAACAGAAAGACATTAGTTTTGTGAATAGGAAGGACCCGACTAGACTTTTGGAATTACATGAGAGTACTGAGAAAAAATTCCTAACCATTACATTTTTCACATTCTCTCACCTTGAAACCTCGATATAGAACACTGGAATTTAATGTGCCAAGTTTGATCGACAGTAAAAAATAACTGGGATGTGAAATATGCTCTCATTGTTTTTATTTTCTTTTTAAAAGATCGGAAGAATTTTAATGTAATCTTTTGCAGGAGATAACATTCACATTCGTTTTAGAAGAATGCCCTGTGCTGATCTCCAAACAAAATCTCCATTAGCTCCAAACAGCTTCCCCATCCCTGCCTTGAAAAAAAAAATTCCCACAGTGTCAACCCCATGTTTCACCATTATACAATTTGCAGATATAATTTCCTGATACAGGTCAGCTTTAATCATGTAGGTTAAAAAAAAGAAAGTTAAATCTGACAAAAAAAATCATTCATGTTTGCTCTGGCTCTAACATGGCTAACGGCCCCTTTAACGACTTTCTGTCAGTTAATGGTTTCTACAACACAGGCCATATTTGTAGAATATACAATTAGCAATTTCCTATTGAATGCAATTCTTAACGATGCCCACACTGAAAAAATCATGCAACCGCATTTTGCATTTACTTAATCATATATAGTTACTTTAAAACAATTGTTGTCCTGTCCTGCCAACATGAAACAATTGTGTCAAAAGTAACTAAATATGACTGAATAAATGCCAAAAAATGTTGCCTTCTTTTTTTCAGTGCAACTTTTAATGTAAACTATCTTAGGAGCTTTTTTCCCCATTTTAGCAGGGATGGACGGAACAGCGTGCTTTGAAATGACCAAAACTTGTGTCTAAGCTTTAGTAACGTAGCAACATCACATCTGTGTTTGGGTCTGGAGCATTCATTATGGGTTTCCATTAGGGGTGGAACGGTTCACAAAATCCACGGTTTTCGGTTCGGTATATGTTGATTGTTACCCCAAAATCCCATAAAAATTCATTAAAGTAATGAAAAAATAAATAAATTAATGAATTGTAATTATTTTTAATGATCTGCGGAAACCCTGGATCATTTCTGCATGTTTTGCTGCTTTAAATTTAATCATCTCGCGCATGCTCTCTACGATCTCCAAGGAACTCAGAGCGGAGCGGAGCCACAGTGGGGGCTGTAGGCTTTGCTTTGTGCAGGCGGTCTGGAGCGCAGCAGAGCGGAGCGCTGACGGAGAATGAGGGATTTCGGGGTTAGCATGACATGTAGGTAGTGTTGCTGTTAGCATAAACAAAACGTGTTGCACAATGCTTGCACACTGTTGCACTTTTATCCACAACTTTCTTTCCGCCGTCATCGTAGGTCACTCTAAATGCAAAGCGGTCCCATACAGCAGACCTAAAGTGCTGCTGGCGCGTCTTCCAACGCCCGTTCATTCCCACTCGCCATACCCACACAATTCTCCACAACAGCTGATTTTTTTTCTGCTACACTCGGCTACGTTGCTTCGCTTCTTCTTCTTGTTTACTACTGGTGGTTGGCTTTGGTCGCAGTACCGCCACCTTCTGTTCTGGAGTGTAAACGCTTCGCCTATGAGAAAAAAGGAGCAGCGCATGAACCGAACGCAACACACGCGAACCGAACCGAGACAGTCGAACCGAACGGTTCGGACGGTTTTCATAAACCGTTCCATCCCTAGTTTCCATGATGGTATTTTTTCAGTAATATTCAGTAACAAACCTTCAAGTGTTGATCAAATGTAGAGAGATTATTACATGGGAGATTTGACCCCTGTGCGATAACAACTATGTACCGCTTGTTGATCTATCAAAAAATTACTCTATAAAAAAAAGTTGTGGTAATCAGGTAGCAAAACATGTAAAGGTTTAAAGAGTTCAAAGGGGAGAATTTTCCTCACCTTCTTCCACTGGGGGATTAGAAGGACTAACATCATAAGAACTTTCTCAAACATCACAATGAGGATGTAGAGGATACATTGGCCCAACCACGCAGTGCACTGGACTGGCTCTCCTACACAGATAAGGATGCACAGCATAAGAACAATGAAATTAAAAAGTAAATTCAGTTCCAGAGGCAAGCATATACTACCCTCTACTGGCTGCTATGGGTTTAGAAAGTACTTTCCCTGAGAAAACAGGAAAAAGCAATGCACAAGTTGCACTCACCGTATTCTCCAAAACGCAGAGAATCCCACTGCCTCCATTCAACTATAGCACTGACAGCCTTTACTCCTGCATATATGAGCAACATGCCCAGAGATGCATCCAACAAGAAGTTAATGAGGTATCTGTGAAGTAACAGGAAATAATAGCATGTTATACCTTTAGTTTCATAACCAAATTATTGTGTTTTTAGAAAAGCACATACAATGAGCAGGGATCCTCCTCTGTAAGGTCTGACAAATAGACATTTGCAAAGTGGATGAAGAGCATCCCGATTGCTTGTTTTGAAGTGTCCAGGAACCTGCAGAGAGACAGGCGAGTTAGTTCAGACTGACTGGGGTGATCCAGCTTCAAACTTTCATTTTAGTTTCCTTATCTGACTTACCAGATCTTCCAGGGTCTCCTTTCATGTTTGGGCTCCCTGAAGCGTTTCACTGTACAGAACAAAATGCCACACAGGGGGGGGAGGGTTATAACATCTCACCAGGGAAGGGAATCGATCTTATGTTTATGTTTAATTAAGAGTATATACAACATTAATGACTTGTCATTCATCTGGGGATCATTCAGGACAGGGAAAAGATTTGAAATAACCATTTAAAAAACACTTTTTATAGTTTTATGAAGTCTAATGGAGAAAAGTCTACCAGGCCAAAAGAGAAAAGGGAAGAGACTAAACATTTTAATCCTCTAGTTCCTCTAGATTTATTTATGTGTTAGAAAAAAATATATTCAACAAAATTCTTAAGACCAGATAAAACATTGCATCAGTGTAGAGCTGCAAAAAAAGGAAGAAATTGGAACTAGAGACCAAAAGTTGTGGGCAGGCAATTTTATGTTTTTAATAAATTGAATGTAAAATAAATTGGCTTAATAAATTGATCAGCTGTTCATTAGCTTATCAAGTTTTAGACCAAAGCCTTTAAAACCCAAATTCTGTGCTGGATTATGTCATGTGCTGGATTGTGTCCTGTGAAGTAATCAAGATCTCTTAATGCCGAATGGAAAACAGCTCACCATCTTTAAAGGTGGTAGGACAGTGTATCTGCATTGCAGCTGAGGTTGGATGCAGTAAGAGAGTCATTTTTCATTTATTAAGAGATCAGAGGGGTTCTGGAAGAACCCCTGGGTTTTTTGTCTCTCTTTAATGGCAGAATGGAGCTCCAGGTTGTTATGGGAGCGTTTAACAATAATCTTAAATCTTAATTGAGAAAATTTGTGGGTGGATGGGAAGAAGCGTTTACAAAAATGGACATCATCTCCAAGCAGTGGATACTCTTCGTGAAGCCATCATTCGCTTACGGAAACACATCAAGCATTCCAGAATCAATTTAAGACATGTTCAACAATAAGGGTGGAACTAATCATAACCAGGTTATTTTTTCACACTTTCATTTCAGTTTGAGTTTTTTTTTTAAACTTTAAATCAGCTGATGAACAGCCTATTTGACGTAATTTGTTGTTTTCAAAAAACTTCCTGCCCACAATCTTTGGTCTCTAGTTCCCATTTCTTCTTTTTCCATTTTTCAGCTCTATCCAGAACCTTCTTAAGACCCAACAGCAGCCAGTAGTGGAGCAATAAAAAGATAAGGGTTTACAGAAGCCACAAGTGAGCTATGCAAACAGAACTAACAGCAACGACACATCTACCAAATCAAGCTCCTCCCTCTCTTCACAATAGTCACTTGTTTGCAGCAATGTTTTTTTTCTCTCTCGCTCTCATTAGAAACACCAAACAGTAGAAAGATTGTGACACCACAAACTGCTGTAAAGAGCTGTTGTGTTCAATAAATTACGACAGATCATGGCACTTTTTGGATGGGGACATTCAAACTGCAAACGACCTCGGTTGATGATCTCAATCCTGACTTTAGACCAAACACGCCCTGCAAAGTACGCTGTCGACTTTTGACTTCTCTCTTTACCTAAATATCTGCCTTGTGCACAAACGGACAATAAAATAAATAAATAGCTCACCACTTCTCATTTTCATTAATGAAGTTGGAGTAGTTGATAATCTTTCATTTCAAAGTTTTCATCCTTTGTCAAGCTTTATTCTGGGCCCTCTGCTGTTTTTTTTTTTTTTTTTTTTGTGTTTTTTTTGCTCCAGTTGTTCTGATCTGAAAGCCAAACGTATCTTCAAATTAATATTTACCTGTTACTTTCATAAAAACACCTGCTTAACCTCTTACACCCTAAGGGGGTATAAATACATTTCTGCCTGACAAAAACACACAAAAGTAAATAACTTATAGCCTCAAAGCTATTAGATTTAAGAAGAAACTTTTGGTACGTCTGTAAAGGTAAGATGTCATAGAATGGTTTTCTGGTGTCAGCACCATTGTAGCTTTGACCCTGCCTGAAATATTAGGGACAAAATACAAAATATTTTGCATTTTTTGAACCTCGCCAAAATTTTCTTTGAAATAAACATTGCAAAACACTACCAAAATATTATTTATAGCACAAAAAAGTAGTACAGACTTTTAAATCTAAATGTTGTGTAAAAATATACCAAATTTGGACTCAATCAGGTGAATCATATTTATTTTAGAATGGTATTAGTGAGAAATTTCTTAGGCGGAGAGGCCATTTTGGCACATTTATCCATAAATGTCACCAAACTGTGCCAAATATGTTTTTTACATCAATACTGGGGGTTTGGTAAAATTACGAGGTCATGTAGCAGCTGGACCCGCCGGTGGGTCCATAGGGTTCAAGGGGTTAAGAAACACAGGGAATATATTATGTCCCTGCACAGGGCTGGGATGGACTATAAGGCAACAGACTGGCAATATAGCGGCAAGGTAACACTTTCCTAGATAGAGCCACCAATAGAGCTGGTTAATAATTGTTTTTTTTAACTAACAACACTTTTCCCACTGGCCAAAAACCCCGTTTAAACCTGAGAACAATCGGCTTTTTTCCAACAACAATATCCCAACAGTGAAACACAGGAATGGAAACGTGCTTTGGGGATGCCAGAAATTTATCTCAATATATTCCTCACAGCTGAAGTTTGCAATATAATCGCAATTTAACAAAACGCAATTTTCAAATCACAGATGCACCAAATTTTTAATCACACTATATTTAACAAGAGTAAGACACCAAAGTTTTCACTCCAGCCCTTAGGTGGCAGTGAAACACTTGAAAAGGGTTTGTCACCACACATAAAGGTAGAGAGAGTTGTAGCTAGCACGCAGATCCATGCATGGAAGTAGAAGAAAAGACTTTTTTTGCACTAAGGTAACAGTAAAGTCCTGCCACAATGGACTCTGGTCAAGCTTTAAAAAACAGACTTGCCTGGGATGAAACATTTACAAACTTGCGGTTAGTGCAAAAGAAAAATCTAAATAAAATCCCAATTGCAATACTGGTTAAATATAATAGCAATTTAGATTTTTTGCGAAATCGTTCAGCCCTAATATCAAGTACTTAGTTTGTCCAGTATACAACACAGTTCCTTGGCTTATGCCAAGCGCACACCGACTACGGTGCTGCTACAGTCCTGATGTAAAAAAGCCACTTACAATGAATGCTGAAGTCAATGCTGTCTGCATTAACAGCAGTTTACATGGATTCATGCTTGTTCCAGTGGTTCTGGGGAAAATACTCGAAATCCGTGCTAAGAAATATAATTTTTAATCCTCAAATAGCCTCTCTACTACCTCAGGTATCAGTTTTGTCATTGTTTTCACACTAAACAAGATAATGTAAGTTGGCATAATCTAAAGAAACAACAGAGGTGAGTGTCCGAAGAATTTATCAATATAAAAACTATTATGCAATGTAGAAATCTAACCTTTATAGAAGGGTAGGAAATGGAAAGTCTTTGGTAAAAAAAAAGGAAGTTTACAGCAATCTTGTAAAAAAAAAAAATGTTGCCAATGTGTCAGCTGTGACAGATAAAGCATTAGAAGCAAAAAGCAAGAGTGCATTTTTTGGCTATCCCTCCATTATTTTCCATGGAGCTGTGTCAACCATCAAGATCTGTAGTGTCATCTATGCGAAGAAGCGGATGACATTTTTAAAAGCTGGGGTACGCTGTATGGTCTCTGTTGCCCGATTGCTTTGCCTCCCTGCATCTTCATGTTTCTACATTACTTTAGGTTAAATTATTATATAAAATCAACTCAACTGCAAAAACTGAAGGGCTACTTTAGAGCAGAGAAGTTGGCTTTCCTATCAAGAAAAAAAAAACAGGTTTTAAAAAGCAAGAAGAGCCAGAGTCCTCCATCACTACAACATGCAGCGTCAGGTGTTATATTTTTGTAAAGCACTTTATAATTAGGACAAAATACATCTCTTTCCTTTAATAATCCATTTTCTCATAATTGTAGTTACAACAGGAAGGCTCATGTACATAATTTCAAGAGAAAAGGTTTAGCAAGCTCCAATTTTCCAATTCTGCTTACCATTTAACTCTTCACTATAATGTTATTCTTAGACGCTTGTCTAAGACTCCTCCCAGGGTTGTTTGATCCTCTTTAGAAATGTATTCAATTTAGAAATTGTATATGACAAAACTAAAATCAAATAAACAAAAAAAACAAAAAAACTTTAAAAAGGCATTCAACAGCAGGAAATTTGAAGTATTCTTTGCGCAAATAAGTAAAGACAGAACATAAAAGACAAGCAGTCTCAGTGTCTCATCTGTGCTGCTCTTATCTAGGGCCTCACTTCCTGGACCTAACAGAGATCAATACAGAATTGGATTAATGTAGTGAGGTTATTGGATGAAGGCGGCTTCCATCAGCAGTGCCAGATATCTGACACGTAGCAGCTTTTGGGAGCATACTCACACATGAGGGTGCTGAAAGCCATCACCGCCAGGAGGCCCTGGAGGAAAATCCCAAAGGAGTCCATCAGGGCGCCGTTCTCGCAGCCCCGGGTATCGGTCCCCGGCGGAGGGCTGGAGGATGTCGCCGAGGTGTTGGCCGCAGAAACCCCGGCTACAGCCGCCCCTCCGAGCGTGTTTCCACCACTTACAGCAGCCATGGTCCTCTCTAGTAAACCAAGCGGGTCTCCCTCAGATAGCAGTTAGTCAGCCGGTGTATATGTCAAGCTGGGCATCGGGGACATATGGTAGCATCGTCTGTCGCTCATTCTCCTGCTTCATGCATCCGCTTGGTCACAGCTGCTCATTCATATGAGAAGAAAAGTTGTCTAAACGAGTTGTAAAATAAATAAAAACATAGATTGTTGAGGTCTGTGCAGTACAGGACCTCTTCTCTAACCTCAACCTTAGTGTTTACATAAAAAAACGGACACTGATGCTAAATGCATCCTATGTAGATAGCACAACACACAACAACCGACGTTATAGCTCTATTATCCTTTGTTAAAGTATAGGTCACAAAACACTAAGTAAAAAAAAAATCCACGTTCTGGGTTAAACGCCACGGCTACTGCTAGCACAGGGTTAGCTTAAGCACATTATTCCTTTACATTGAGCTAAAATGTTGGCAAGCAAAATTTTTCTCTTACCTGAAAGTCGGAACACGTCCAGTCTCTCATGACGCCCAGAGAAGTCTATGAAAATCCGATGTTTTTTTTTTTTTGGTTGTTTTTTTTAAAGGGAAATAATAGCTAGCTGCTTCCCTAGCAGTGCCCACTCCTGTTGACAGGCGGCGTCACGTGACCTGAACGTAGGCGAACGAGCTGCATGCTGGGAAATGTAGGCTGGGATGGCTGTCGGTTATTTCGGTGCTTCGCCCATCCCTTTATCCAACAAATAGGTTAGGTTGGAGACTTTTTTAGCAGAGCTTGAAGGAAGATGACACATAGTGCTTCTAAGTTTAATAAATACTGAAACAAATAATCATACATATGAGTAAAAATAAACAGAAAGTAATAGATGATCAATTATATAAATGTGAAATTCTTTTTAGAATAGGACATATTTGATCAAATAATGAAAACTTTAAAATAATAAAAATCTAATTGCGTGATAGAAGTATGTTAAAAGGTAATTCCTACATCGTTTATCTTATGTTTGAACAGATAACGCAACTTAAGGATATCTGGCTCATGGTAAGATAAAAGAGTTTAATGGGACCAATGAAAAAAATTATCATGAAAACATTTTTACTAGAATACTTTGGAAATGGAAACTAATTGTATGAGATTAGTTGCACAGATGGTAACTTTAAGTGTTGGATAGATAATGTAGATTACATCAGAAATGAGAAGTGAAAAGCCAAAAACAGCCGATCATTCAAAATCAAGAAGTAAATTAAAAGTAGCATCTGTCACACAAACTCATTCCTACCACTTAAAAGTCAGTAGTCCTATAGAGAAGGAGGACCTTTGACATTACGCATGTGGAAAGCTTAAGAACTGCTGGAAAATTTGCCTTTTTTTTTTTGTTTCCCCTTTGCTTCCATAGCTATGATTATTTCCAAGTATGAATAAATAAATTTCCTGTGGCATTTTATTTTTTATATAGTCATTACACTGTCACAAGTACAGCACAACAAAATTCACTTTCTGCATTTAACCCATCTCCTTGAGGAGCAGTGAGCTGCCATTTTTGGCACCTGGGGAGCAGTGCAGGGTTAAGGGTCTTTTGCTCAGGGAGCCAGGGTGGCAGTCTGTGGGAGTGGGTTTCAAATTCACAACCTCAGGATTTCCCAGCTTATGCCCTAACCGTTAGGCCACCACTCCCCCCACTAGGGGAGCAGCAGAACGCACCTTTATTTATCAAAAAAAAAAAAAACAAAGGCAGGAGAAAAAAAACCCCAAAAAACAACTCATAGACTACCCGGGCTCATCGATCTTTATTGCAGTTTTACACGACACATACGTTTGTTCTGTTTTTCTAAAAAAAAAAAAAAAAAAAAAACAGGAACCTACAAGCAAACTAAACAATTGAGGATTCTCACACAAAATGAAGCACATAGCAATTTAAACTACTTGAAATAGCAACTTACAGAAGCGTTTGCTAATGAACTTCTCATTTTAGAGCTGCCAATTGCTTGCTAAAAACTATTCTGCTGATGCTGCAAATTGTATCTATTTTCAAAACAAAATTATGCTTCCCTTACATAAAGGTTAAAGTCTATTCTGTGCAAATTGTTCTGTATATTTTGGACATTTACACATTGCTTAGGCAGTTTTTTTGTCCAAATAACCCTGTTTTACTAAAAGATTTGAGTATGTACACTGTACAAACATGCACTTGGGTATATCAGCATTCAGTGCTTTGTTTTACTTGTGCTTGCAATACAGAATCCTTGGAGCAAAGTTATAGTAATAACAAATCTATTTTTTTCATAGGAACAAAACTTGACATTTTTATCTTTTATTATAAAAAAATAACAGATAATTTTCCTCCTAAATGTAATTTAAACAATATTGTGCCTAAATTTTGACAAATCTAAACCCAAACAACTGTTGCATTGATTAATTACACCACAAAGATTTCAATGCATTTTTTTCCTTAACTGCTCCACCTGTAGTCTTTTGAGTCACACTCAAGCTTGTTGAAAGAGTAAAGAATATTGATTATCTTTGTAGAGGCTACTTGACAGTATAAGGGAAAAAAATATCAAGGAGATGAAATTCAAACAGAGGGTCCTTGAAATTAGTGTAATTTTCCATAAAAAAAGATTTGATCTGATGCATTTTAACATATTCAATTCATATCTTTTTGTCAGTAATTTGCTTCACATCTGATACTTTATGGAGGGAAATGTTTGGTTATTTCATGTCTTTGTGGCCCTATGTAAGCGAAAATAATAATTTATGACTTCTTAGATTTGAGCTCATTTAAAAGGATGCAATTCATACAAAAAAGGATAATGATTTCCAGTGTAAAAATAAAAAAACAAAACAACAAAAACAGACAAAAGTAAAATTTAAAAATTCTAATTTAAATAAAACATCCACATTTTTACAGGATTAAATCGCTTAACAGGAAGCAGCCGTGTCCTGTTAACTTTCCCCGTCGACTACGTAGCAAACTGTTGATAAAAAGCCAGTTTGACCCTCTCGATGTGGTGGCACAGCTTTATGGCCGGTCCCAGCTTAAGGTCCATGCACTCCTGTACGGTGGGAAGGTTCAGTAGCAAAAGGGCCTGTCCGTCAATTTCCTACAAATGCACAGTTTTACATGAGATAAAACTTCAACATTCTTTCTGACTTCTTTCTCAAAATTTCTCAAACAATTGATTTCAATTTCATTCAAATTGCCTCCTCACGGGCATCATTACCTGATCCAAGAAAATCCTTGCAAGAGGTGCACAGTCAGTGGTCCTGATGAAGCGAACCACATCAGAAACACTCCACTCCAGTGGACTCGTGTCCAAACACAGCTTCTGAGGAGGTTCAGCCTTTGACGTCTGGTGAAACACATATGTTGGGTCAGAGTTTCTATCTTACTGTTTGCCTATAACTGGGGCAGACATACTCCCTGCTAGATAAACTGCTTGAGTCATACAATTTTTTTTTTTTTAAATGACTGAGAGTGCCTTTCAAGGGAGAATTGGAGGTTAATGTGTTTTGCAAACTTCAAAGTACGTGACATACTGGGAGTTAGATGCTCTAATAATGACCTCATTGACACAATTTGGGAAAAGGTTTTTGAAATGGAGTCATTCTACAAAAACAAATGTCAATGTGTTTTATGTAAAAGACTGACAAAAGTTGACACATGTAGAGCAGACAAAAAAAATTATACATAGTTTTCAAAATGCGTCTAAATGAGCGATGTGCAATTGAAACAGGCTCTGGTTTCATCAGGGAGAGCTGCAGCTATGCGGTGCTTAAGAGCGAGATTTCTCTGAAACAGGTTTCAGAACAGAGGGTTTTGAATATGGCCGGTATTTTAACACTTTCATTTTTATTGATTAATTATTGTGTAATTTGCTGTGTATCATACACCTGTAAATGTGACGCACAAGCAGCACAAAAAGTGTTATTCCAATGGGAGTATTCCAGCTTAAATCCATCTCAAAGCAGCTCATGTTGTAGCAGCAGGGATGTTAGCAATGCTAATGCCTGCGTCCACAGTTGCAGCACAGATTCTCAATCCATCCCATATCACACCAGATAAGTAGCTTCAGAGTCAACATTACTCGCTTCCAGAAAAGCTAAACAACTCTCTGCTAAAATGGACAGAAAAAATTTTTTTAGTAATTGGTTAAAGGGAAAAAATAGCTGCACTACATACAGTATGCTTTAATCCCACTGAGTTACCTGCTGAATAGCAAATGCTCATGTTTGAAAGTCCAATAAATGATGCATTGCTCTACTGTTAGAAATTTAACTTACATTTTCTTTACAACCAATATTAAACTTAAAGGAAATAATGAATACCTTGTTGCTATATATATATATATATATATATATATATATATATATATATATATATATATATATATATATATATATATATATAAAATGCATGTCAATGCACGGATTAGGTCACACTTCAAAAGAAGTAGTTTTTTAAAGAAATGTTTAAAGAAAAATCAGGTGTTTCTAACTTTCAATAAAACTGATGGTTGCATAAACTAAATAATCAATTGAAAACAATAATTATTATGTTGCTGAGCTTATATGCATGCACGAGCAGATATTTCCCCCAGGTCGCCATAAATAATGTTATTACAGTATTGAAAGAGCTTATTTTATCATAAAAATCACATGATCTTAGTTTATCTGCTTGTCTGACATCATTATCGGACATGCAGCAAAATATGAGTACACTGTATTTGAGTAGTGTATTTCATTAGATTATGCACTATATATATGAAAGTGCTATAAAATGTAAACATAAAGCCCCAAATTACTAGTTATTCATAAATTTAAAGCCAGGGAAAATGAGGTGCCGTAAGGCGGTAGGATCCCATTTCTGGGACAGATAGGGTACAGAGGAGTGATAACAGGAAGGATGTAAATGCATTTGTTCTCTCAGAAAAGAAATCCACTTGTTATAGTTTAATTTGATTTTTTTATTTAGGGAAAGAAAAAAAATTACTTTTTAATTTACTTTTTTTGCAGAAAGAGCAATTGCGGGAGATGGGATGTATTCTGATATGAGCTGATGGTATGAATCGATTAACAGTTAGTAGGCATGCGAATGTCGCTGAGGTATGGCGGGGAAATTAGACATTTTTTCCCCCAAATGAAACCACCGTATGTAGATTAGGACTGCAAATAAAAATTATTTTGTTAACCAATTATTTTGTTGACTTTTTTCCATTAAACTACGAACAGCTGCATAGCAAAAGGTGCTTTATATGTTGACTAACTAGCCTGTAGCTCAGGGTTAACTGTTGTGACAAATCCAAATCCATTTATATGTGCCCTTTTTAAATTTCATTGTCTCAGCGTATGAGTCCGAGCTTATGAGCAAAAGAATAAGCTTGACAAGAGCATTAACTGATAAAGAGGGTGTTTCTTCTTTAATGCAAGATGTATTTTAGTACACTTTTATTACAGCTCTGAGTTGTTGTTTCCTTCAACATATGCCGTGTTTTAGCAGCTGTGTACTCCAGTTGACTTTTGCTTGATTACTAAATCAGTTGATGATTTCTTCAATAATTAGTTCTTTACAATTCATTTGATTAAATGTTTTAGCTCCAAGATATGTTAAAGAACTGTTTAAGATAAAAAA